GGGGGGGGGGGGGGGGGGGGGGGGAGATAGGTAGGTGTGGATTAGTAAGATTGTCTGACATTAAATAATGTATTAATTGAGTTATATGACATAAAAATTGTGTAGAAAATACGATGTTTTCGAACAAAATTATTTTTTAAATGAATTCTAAACAGTTAGATGAAATTGGATTAATCTTAATTATTTTTAATTTTTTATAAATATGTAATTTAAATTACTAGCTATAATCTTATATATATATATATATATATATATATATATATATATATATATTTCAAAATTTGAATTTTTAATCCCTTGGGTTTAGCTTAGGGGTTGGATTTGGAACATAACATACAATTACTTATCGTTTTTCACTGAGTATTGTAATTGAATTACAACTTGTTTTATGATTTGTTTCGCTGCATAGAGTCGGATAATGAGAAATAATATTCATCTTAATTGTAAAATACTTATTTTTTTTTGATCGATAGAACCACTCTGAAACTTACACCATAGGGCCTTATACACACATAAAACCCCAAGACTATCCGATGTGAGATAGTCTCAGGCCCCCCTGGTGGACAACTAGCACCGATTTTTTTTTAAGACTGGGCCCACACACAGACTCGTGGGGCAGACGCATGCACACAAGTTTCTGTTTTTTTTTTTATAGATAGAACCACTCTAAAACAAACACTTAAAAGTGTAAGCGGCAGAGGACCTAAGACACACACACAACTCCAAGGCTATCCGATGTGGAATAGCCCCATTTTAAAATACTTATGGAAATTACAAAAAACATTTTTTGATGAATTAATATTTTAAAAAATATTAATATTAAATGTGTTTTTGGAGGGAGAAAAAAGGAAAACAATAAAAAGATTGAAAAATATTTTGTGCCCTTAAATATTATTCAATTCTCAATTTATTTTGTACAAAATTAAAATTTTTACATGATACCATCAATTAGATAAAAAGATAGCAATGTAGTCCAAAACTAAATGTTTATTGTCTTTTTTCTACCAAATTTGTTCTTGAACCATTGAACTAGTGGTCCAGTGACTTGTAGTTCCCTATTTTATTAGGGTTCTCCATAACACCATAAGGTTAGGAAACATAGTTGGATTCATGGAAACACCCGTGGTAGTTCTGTGAAAGGATGTTAATCGAGGCGAGCTATTCGGATTCAAATCAGATAAAATTCGGTTCGAATTCGACTTGTATTTTAAACGAGTTAAATTTGAACAATTTTTTAGACTTATTTAAACAAGCATAAAAAGTTCGACTCAAACTAGTAAAAGTTTGGCTCATTTATATGTAAAATAATCAAACTACTTAGGCTTGTCTCGGGTTCAGCCTAAGCTCGGGCTAAACTCGAGTTCTAAAAGAATCGAAATTAAATAATTTTTTAAATTCGTTTAAAAAAATAAGTCCGTTAAACTTAAATTCAAACTAATAAAATCCGGCTCAATTAACGCCTCTTATTCTTGCGAGGTTAGAATATGGAAGGAGTGGGCCGCTCAAAGTGCTTGCGATTTCCTATTGTCTTAGGCCACACTAGTGGACTCCCCTCATAGGTTTAGGCTGCTATGATCATGCACTTATGCCCTGTCAAAGGTCACAACCCGGTTGCCCTTTTGTTCCAACCCTTTTCATTTACCAAAAAAAATAAAACGTTATTGTATTCGTCTTATTATCTTATATAAACTATTTTTTTGGCATAATTTGAGAACTTAATCAATTATAGTTATTCGATTAAAAATATATTTCACCCAACTTAGAACTAATAACTAATTTAATGATTATAATGAATTAGGTCTTAAAATTGGATCCCAAAAGTATTGCTATTATCTTATTTATATATGTAATTGTTCACATAATACTCAATATAAAATATATTCAATAAAAATTATTTTAAAATGAGGCACGTTATTATATTTTTATTTAATTGGGGCCATAATATAAATTTTTTAATTTTTAAACCTCCTAAAGTGTCATTTCCCCATAGATAGGAAAAACCCAAAGGATCTATAATATAAGTACGACCTGAACTCAGCCCCACCTGGGATGGAACTTTGTCCATATTCACGACCTATATTGTTCCCTGTAAAAAGACTCAGCTCAGTGTATTCCAAATTTAAGTTCTGGTCTGGACCGGTTCGAGCCGTCGCCGGCGATTCAGCAGCCATGGCCAACTCAGTCAGAGTCGCTGCCGCTCAGATGACCTCCGTCAACGACCTTTCCGCCAATTTCTCCACCTGCTCTCGCCTTGTCAAAGTACCCCCCCCCCTCTCTCTCTCTCTCTCTCTCTCTCTCTCTCACACACACACACACACACACACACGCGTATGTACTTGGAGGTTTATTGAAGTAAAGCGCGTGGTCTAATTTCTAATTCTAGATTGATGTAGATTAGTTTAATATGATTGGTAAAATAGCGAAGGACTTTGACGGTTCTAATCCGAGTATTTTGTGTTTGGTTGCTGCTGAGAGAAGAGAACTGATAGAAAAGACGAATTCATATGCAGTTGTTGTGATGGTCAGTTTACCATCAAATGCGAATTAACAGGGGCTTTCATCATTCACTCGTCCATAGTACTTTTTTGTGTTGAGAAATTAGTATTTTGAGCAATTCACTGATTTCTAGGTTCTTGTTTGGGCTTGTGCGTGTGTGTACTAAATCTTTTTCTGATTTTGAGAGTATATGTTTGTGAAGGAAGCAGCTTCGGCTGGGGCAAAATTGCTTTGTTTCCCTGAAAACTTCTCTTATCTGGCTGCCAAGGAAGGGGACAGTCTGAAGATTGCCGAACCTTTAACTGGACCAATAATGAAAGGGTATTGTTCTCTTGCAAGGTATGGGCACGATAGACTTGTCATCCTTTTCTCTTCAAATTGATTAATCACAGATATAAGATACCTTAGCTTTTATTAATCGCGCATGGCATGAGTACCTATATTTCTAATTTTTAAGTAAAAATTGGCGAGTTCCAAGATTAAACTTTCAGTGTTGTGTTAATGTAATGTAATATATTTCTTCACTGCTTAGCCTTACATTCTTATTGAGTGTCACCTTTTCTTGATGAGGGGTTGAAATTATGAACTCCTTCTTTTCTGCATGTCAATACTTAATCAGATAATATTTTTATGTCACTGATTGCAGGGAGTCGGGCATGTGGCTCTCTCTTGGAGGATTCCAAGAAAAAGGATCTGATGATGCGCACTTGTGTAATACTCACGTTTTGATTGACAATGCTGGGGAAATTAGAAGCACATATCGAAAGATGCACTTGTGAGATATTTTTGTATCTTCAAAAACTATAAATATTGTCATATAGTCACATGCCTTGGCCAATGAATTTATCCTCTAGTATGCATTTGTGTACATCCTATGGTCATACTCGTATGACACTCTAAATAATAGTTTTCCATATTTTCAAGGTTTGATGTGGATGTTCCTGGAGGTGTGGTATACAAGGAGAGCAGCTTTACAGAACCAGGTATCATTTGTTCTCTTATGACTGATATTCCATGCTGGTGAGATGATATCTTTTTTTTTTCTCTCCTTTGTTTCTTATGTACATTTCATTGCTCTATAATAGCATATGAATCATGTGATATCTGCCTCCAAACTCCTCTGACTCCACTTTGCTTTGTGCTTGCAAAATTATTGTCCTACCTCTGGTGTAGATATGGCAAGTCCTCCGGGACAGAAATGTATATATCACTTTTATGTGCGGATAAAACTACATGTTATCATGTATGTAATAATAGGACTAATAACTGTAGACTTATAATTGATTAGAAGAAGTGATTGGAATTATTTATTTATTTCTTATTGTTGAACAATTGAAACTGATAAAGTTTTATAGGGAAGGATATTGTCACGGTAGACAGCCCCTTCGGATGTCTGGGTGTTACAGTTTGTTATGATTTGAGATTTCCAGAGCTTTATCAGCAGTTAAGATTCCATCATGGCGCCCAGGTACAAGCATGATCCTCGACTCTGTAGCGTAATGACCTGTTTGGCACCTGACGTTTGCTTTTTTAATGCAATCTGCAGGTTTTGTTGGTACCTGCTGCTTTCACCAAAGTAACAGGTCAGGCACATTGGGAGATTCTTCTTCGTGCTCGTGCTATCGAAACCCAATGTTATGTATGATGTTCATTTCACCTCCATTTACGTGGTCTCTTCTTGTTTCTTATTGCTGCTGATGTTATAATTGTTGATGTTGTCTAGGTATTATTAGTGGATTCATACCATGTTGGCAATTTAGTTTTAGGGTTCACTAAACCCCCTACAATTTGGACCGATTTCAAGAGGTATCCTTGTTATAAAAATTACACTGCACCCCCCTCTGGTTTGATGTTGAATTTCAAGGGTTACCCTTGTTGTGATAGATCGTTAGAGATGGTGATGCCAATGATAATGCCAACAAATTTTTTATCTCAAATATATTTTAGAAAACCCCATACAAAACCTGTGCCAACAATTCCAAACTTACCTCTACACTGCCATCAACCTCTCACCCCCAAACCTGCCACCTCCATCCTTGTTCACCCCCAAACCCACCACATCCACCCCCACCCCAGAAGCCCCACCTCGACCCACCCCCACCACCATTCTAATCATTTCAACCTCCAACTTAACTTCTCCAATATATTTGTGTTTGTCTGTCTTTATCCATACATGTCATAAATACTCCTATGCATATGTGTGTGTGTGTGTGTCTATATATATATATATATATATAGAGAGAGAGAGAGAGAGAGAGAGAGAGAGAGTTTAGGTTTGTGCGAGTGATTTGTGTGTCTGTGCACGTGTCTGTGAGAGGGAGTGAAGATGAGGATAAAGAACTACCCTGTTTGGATGCAGAGCTAGGTTGGTCCACATGAGGAATAAGAGACATTTGGGTTGAGGACTATGTGTACGGAAGAATGACAGCTATGGGCGAAATTGAAAAAAACCTGTTCCCTTAGTGACCATCTCCGACATTTCATGAAGAGTCAAATGTAATTTTCGAAACCATAAAGGTACACCTTGTAACTGATCTAAACCAAAGGGGTGGCATTGTAGTTATATTTTTTTAAGTTTTTGAAAGCATCTGTAATCTTGGAAAACTAATCTCTATAGTTTATCTGCACAATCGAGTAGTATTTTAATAATGTTGGCTTTAATGCCCTCCTATTTATGGAGACGTCCATAAAAGAAAAATTATGGAGATGTCCAACCAAATTTGCTATGTTACAACCATTCAAAGACTAAAGATAGTAATTGCTAGATGAGCCTGGTACTTTTTCTTGTAACTAGCCAGCTACTTTGCTCTCGAGTCATGACACATGATAGCCATTTTTAACATAAATATTACACGCTTCAACAAAATTATGCGCACGTGGATAGCAGTAGCACCCTTACAGTGACTGCTTATGAGATGGTAACGAAATAACGACTCTTTCTATACACTAATAAACTAGTATCAATGTTTCATCTTTAGAGAATTATCAATGTTCCATAAACTAAATCTCAGCATTTTGACCTGGACGCCTGTGTGCCCTTTTTTCTTATAAACTTTAACTTAATAATATGCATATATAAGGGAAAGCCAGGCACAGGGAGGGAGGGCGTGTGGGGTTCTCCTTCTTGGTGGTCGGGTATGGCGTAGGTGGGTAGGAACTTCATTTACCTGTTAGCCACCCCATGAGTTTGATTTAGTGTTACAAAAGTTTACTATTCGATGATATTGAGTTGATTTAATTTATATTATCCTAAAATTTGGACTCATTTATTTGATATGGTCTCATGCCTACTTCTACATTGTTCTTTGGGAATAACAATAACTGTGTTAGTAGGTCATAGCTGCGGCACAAGCTGGGAAGCATAATGACAAAAGAGAGAGCTTTGGTGACACCTTAATAATTGACCCATGGGGAACAGTAGTAGGTCGGCTACCTGGTGAGAACCCATTTTATCCTGCAATGTAGTGCTTCTTTTATGATTCCTGGGCTCACTGTGTTGAATTCTAAATTTGACCTCTCTCTCTCTCTCTCTCTCTCTCTCATATATATGATACCTTAAGAATTTCCTATTCCGGTGGCCTGCATTATTACCCTCATGCAATGTATATTAGGAGCTATGTTTGCACTTTATTTTCGTCTTTGAACATGGTCTATTCTTCCTCCCTGTATGAGTGTCTGGCATCTGAATTGAGTTAAAAATTTAAATCTTTTGCCTTGATGATCTCTTGACGACAAGCTGACCCCTATTTAGCTAAATTTCAACCATGGGAAAAGACTGGATTGAAGACACTTAACACTAGTTTTAGCATATTCCCGACATTCTATTTCATAAACTAGACCTTCAAAGATCTTCTTGTTCTGTATCATGTCATTCAATAGACCCAATAGAAGTTATACGGGTTCTTCATCATCATTTTGAACCACTTTAAGATGCTCCAGATGATGGCAATAGATCAGGGAGTTGAAAGCAGTAGATTAGATTCTATCTGTTGGAATAATTTAATGATGGTCAACATCATCATGGTTAATCTCCAAAAGTAAGATTGATTTCTGGATTATTTCGTCTTAGAAGATGTCTAATCATTGGAATTAAAATGCTCTTAATAGTCCATAGCAGGTATTAGAGCAACATTAACTCTAATATTCCACACTCATGCTTTCTTTGCTGTTTCAGATCGACTATCAACGGGCATTGTGGTTGCAGATATTGACTTCTCATTAATTGATTCAGTGCGGGGAAAGATGCCTATTTCAAAGGTAAATTCTGTAAAATTATCTGTTGAACACCCATTGATGGATTCAGTTTTCCTTTGACATCCATATGCTCCTAAACTGTGTTCCTTTTCTATTGTGAGATTATGATGTCTTTATCTTCTTTGCTGATTCACTCTATAACAAAGCACGATGATTTATACTAATTTATATTTTTCTCATATGTGCCAACCTCTTTTAGTGAGAAGTGTGATTTGGTCTAACATTATTAAAATTTTAAAGATATAATCTAACGTACAATGGAGTTAATAAAGAACTAACAGAATAAGTAAGAGTTAATGATCATGTAGTGCAGGTTATGCAAGTTTTTTGGTGTAACGCCCCTTAATAGCTTTCTGTTTTATGGGCCCTATGGTTTTTAAAACTTGCCACCATAAACGCATTCGCCACTTATGTCCCCAGCATGTTTGCTAATTTTAAGTAAAGACATCCAGAGATGCCCCATAATGCAAATTGATTGTATCGATTAGGCACTTGTAATCAAAGTATGTTATATTTTGACGACTGGATTGCACAGATCGGGCATCTCTTTAAAGCCAATTGAAATGAAATTTGGGGGCCTATTGGGCATGGGATGGAATTTAATAAACTGGTGGGGTTTGAAAGAATATAAGTCACACAACAAGCTATTGAGGTGTGTAAGATGAGAAATCCTACGTTGACTTCTTTGGAGTTAGAACCAATAAATAGAATGAAATTCAATAATGGTAAGCCTAGGACAGGGTGATCAACATGGCTCAAGAGTTTCTATACAAAGCCCTGCTCTTCTTCACTCAAAGATATTAGGGGTAAACCTATCCCTCCTCTAAATGTGGTTATACTACATACAGCATAGCAGTTGGTTTTATTTTTTTTTTCTATTTTCTACCTCTTTGGTTTTGTTTGAGTTGAACTATCTGCTAGTGATCTAAATGTATGACATGGATCATCTTCATCCTACTAGCACCTGTAGTCATATGCACACACAGCTAACACAATTGAACCTCCCAAGCTAGCACCTGCGAGCTGATACATGGGAATGATGCTTCTGCTTGCACGAGCAGTAGATGAAGAACATCAAGTCCTCAAAGGACAAATGTGTATGTTTGGGTGGGAAGGTGCTAGCTTGGGAGATTCAATTGTGTTAGCTGTGTGAATATACTTTATAAATGTGCATGTTTGTGTGCCCAGCAAAAACTATTTTCAGAGCAAATTTGGAGGAGACTGTGCAGTGTACAGCAACCTTTTAGGTTTTAGTTTTTGGTACCCATTGTGATTTAGTCTTCTTTTTATGAAGTTGTCTTATTATACGAGATCCTGGGATGAGTTTTGTTTTTGTGTGTGTGTGTGTGTGTGTGTGTGTGTGTGTGCACGCATGCACATGCTGACATGCATGAGCCTGATCTTGCCTGCATATTTCTTATACTCGTAAACTTCACCTTTCATTCTGCTGGTATGAATAACTTATTTGCTTGCTTCCTCACATTTCCAACTTCAATTGTCATTTTCAGCATCGGAAGCCCATTGAGTTCTGGAAATCGGCTTCTCTGTGAGTATAGAAGGCCCTCTCTATTTGCCCATTATACACAGGCAACAGATAATCAGCTGGCTTCTATGTATTAAAGGATATAGTCAATAAAATCCTTAATTATATAACATGCTGAGCAACCTGCTCGGGGTCGGGGTCATATGCGTGTGCTTGTGTTCCTTGTGTTACATTGTGTTCTGTATCATCAAATACAATGTTTTCAGTTAGTAGTTTTGCGACGTTGATTCCAAAAATCTTGTACCAGATGACTGGAAATGAAGATAAATGTGTTCTTGGGTGGTGTTGATCATTACCAGTAGAAGCACAACTTATTTAAGAAGGGTTAAAAGAATTAAATTTTTTATGGAATTTAAAACAAATTTTTAATTGAATATTAAAATTCTTATGTTTCAAGGTGTTTTGACCTATGTTTTGATTGTTTTGACTAATGTTTTGGAAACAAATTTTTAATTTTTTTTTTCGTTTTTATCTTGTTTCCGAAATGTTTTTCATTTCTAAACTCACTGAAATTATGCATCTAAATAAAATTTTATGTCTTAAAAGGGTTATCACGTACGCCTAAAAAAGTAATTTTTTTGTATTGTGCTCTCATTTTTCATTCAATGAAAACTTAAAATTTGTAAATTTTTTTATGTTATTGTTTTAATTTATTTAAAAAATTTGTGAAATCGATAACTGCAAATACATCCGACAGAAATATACGACTCTCTAATTTATTTCAGTATGGTACTAAAAAAATTTTTGAACATGCCATAGCCTTATTCTTCAATTCAAGCGATTGACTAAAAGACTCAGCTATGATGCTAAAAAGTTGCTTCCCACTGCAATACCTAACAAATTAAAATTATTTATTATTTAAATTTATTTTGTTATTTTCTTGATCAACAACTACAAATTAATCAACCAAAAAATTATGGTAGTCATATATCAATTTTTGGTATGACTTTTTCGGTACCTTAACCTTAACTTTATCCTAAACTTATCCAAAAATTTTTTTATCCTAACTAAAATGTCAAAACAACCAAATATCTTTACTGTAGTTCCCTTGTTTTTGCTCTTGAAATGAAGATGCTTGATCCTAGAGAACCATTGCTCTTGCTAGAAACCTCAAATATTCATTTAAATATCCTTGTCCTCCCCCCTATCTAGTTCTGCAGATTAAGTCATGTTATTATGCCAGGTATTGAACCTAAATTGTTCCATGTATTTTCACTTCACAACAAACAATCCCATTTACAAAAGAATCCAACAGAAAAATCCCAGAGGAAGTTCAACGAAATCAAGAGACTTCTTATACTTCTTCCACATGAAAAATAAGAAAGAAAAAAGGCAAAAATGTAAACGAAACAAACTGAGAAGTATAAACATATTTAGAATGCGCACCCAAGCGAACGTGTTGTGCTCACAAACAATCAGTCCAGCAAGAATTCTCGGGTAGAGTCGGGGCTGGCAAGAAGATCAAAAGGTTTGCCCAATGAGTCTTTCAGAATTGTGATCTGACCTTCTTTAAGGAGTATATCTTCGTCAAGGACCTCTATCTTCTTCTTCAACATGTTAATGTCCGAATGCAACAGCATGTTCTTCTCACTGTACTGCTTCACCTCCTCCCACATCAAATCTCTCTCCTCAGATACTTTTGGTAGTATACCCCTCGCAATAGTCAATTCCCTTGTACAATCTTGCAAATCATTTTGAAGTCTGTTCATACTCTCTTCCTTCTTAATCATCTGTCAGACACAAGCAAAGTATAAGAGAATTTTAAGCAAAACTTGTTGCAATTGAAGAGGGTGTTATCAAGAATAAAAAAGCTACAACAAATTTGTTACATTTTATGAAACATGGACACTTCGTTAAGGTCGACGTATCCATATTTGATACCATATCGAATACGGTACTCACGGATATGCATTATACATATCCAATAATTAATAAAATATATGAATACTTCTAAACATGGAGCAAGATGTACAATTTTTAATTTTAATCTATACGCTCTCTTTTCGAGTTCACATATAATACAAAACATTAACAAAAAAATTCTGTCTGATTTTAAAAGACGTGTGTTTTTTAAGTATTATCTACTATTACACGTCAAAACATTATAAAAAAAATGAATTAGTGACACTATAATTTTAAAAACAAATATTTGTAAATAAATTAACTACTTAAATGTGGTTTTGATTCATTTAATTGGTCTCGCTCATTTTATAGATATATCACAATGAGACGATATTACATCTTTTTAAAGTAAAAATTCTTAATTTTGCTTACTATTGATAAAGAATTATTAAAAATTATAATTTTTAAGTCATTAAATAATAACAAAATATAAAATATACTTTATGATAGACATATCATGACTATACCCGTATCCTGTTTCTTTAAGTATTAGGTTTAATCACAAAATAAAATACTTGTACGGAAAGCTTTCATTTGACCTCAACACATTTCAGCTGGCAACCTACTTGAAAATATAAAGAATATACCATCAGAAAGAAAATAAGCAAACTGGTATTCATCTATCACTATTCTGAGGTACAGAAGTCGAGTCATGTTAAAACTTAAAATTAACATGGATTTGTGACCATTTCAAAAATCCATAACATCTAAAGGCCTTTGATGGATTTTATATTCCTTTCTTCATAATGTCAATACCATCTCATAAACTTAACTTAGTTAAGCTCATTTTAAAGACAAGTTCTTCCTCAGGTGCCCGCACAAAACCTTTATCCTAAGAACCAAAGCTGGCAAATTTTTAATCAAGAGTTTGATAATCTCAATACACTACAAGATCGACTCAACAATTCATTCTCTCATCTGCACTTTGTGTAACAAACTTCTTACCCTAATTATGATCCCCCTTTCCTAACAGAAAAAAAAAAAAAAACCAAAATAGTATATCCATAAAAGAGAATGAAACTTCTTAATGCTGAACAGCAACCACTTGTCCTATACAGATTGGCGACCAGGACATCCTTCCTCATTATAAATTATAATTTATCTTAAATTCCTTTCTGTTAGAAAAACTCAACAAGAAGTAAAAGATGATGGTTGAACTGCCACTTAAAAAAAAAGAACCCCAACAATAGCAAATAAATGTCTTCCTTAGCATGCCAACTATACTTATATTACAAGTAAGAACATGCAAGGATAGAATGGCCGCTCATACTTAAACCAAATTCGCACTCACATACACAAAAGTTCATGCAAAACACGTAAGGTTGAACACCATATTAGCATAGCAGAGGAAATAACGACATCAAAGGCTTGCCTGAAGTTCGAGATCTTTCATCTTGTGGGTTACACAAGAGCATGTATCCATGGCATTTTGCACTT